AGGGGAAAAGGGCTGTGGGCTCCTGACCTGGTGCCCAGGGACACCCTGGGCGGGGAGGCGACGATCAGGTGGGATTTGAGCAGCGGCGTTTGGGGTTCGCTGAAACTCAGCGAGCGACTCCGCACCTGGGGGGTTGGGAGGGTGGGGTGGGGAAGAGAAATCAGGGATCAAAAAGGACACCTCGTGCCCTTCAATCCCAACATCCAACCCCTCATCCCGAAGGGAAAACGGCCCCGGGACTCACCGGTGACAGGGACGGGAGGGTGGAGGTGGCGGCGGCCCAGCTGATGCTGGTGAAGATGTGGGGGGACACCGGGATTTGGATGGAGGGCAGCGCCTGGGGGGGGACAAGAGAGGGGGGTCAGCATTAGCCCCATTCCCATTCCCATTCCCATGGAAATTCCAATGGAAATTCCCCCCCCCCCCCCAAGCCGTGAATCCCGCTGAGGCGGAGCATGGAATGTTCGGCGTCACCCCCTGCAGGGGCAGAACTTCCCAAATCCCAAATCCCACCCCCCCCCCCCAATCCCGCCTGTTGGCATTTCTGTGTTTTTTTCCAGGGGTTTTCCCGCGGTTTTCCCGCTTTTGGATGACGTCACAGGCGTTCCCTGGGGATGGGGGGTGGACCCAGAGACGGCTCCCTGGAGTTCCACACCCCTTTCCAGGGAGACACTGCCGCTCTCACGATTCCCAGCTTTCCCAAGATTCCCAGCTTTCCCAAGATTCCCAGTTTTTCCCCCCTGTGCCCCAGGATCCGGCAGGGCAGCATTCCAGCCCCAGGAAGGGTGTGTTGCATTCCAAAGGGAGGGAACAGAGGCCACAGGAGAAGGGGGGGAGGGTGGAGCTGCCAGCCGGGAACGGGCACCCAAATCCCTGAAACATCCCTAAAATCCAGGGGCTATAGAAGCTGATTGTCCAGAGGCTGAAGGGAAAGCTCTCCAGGGGTAACAGAACATCCCTCCAGCCTGGAACAGGCACCCAAATCCCAAAAATCCAGGGGTTTTGGAAGCTGGTTGTCCAAAGGGCTGAAGGGAAACCTCTCCAGGGATAACAGAATGTTCTTCCTGCCAGGAACAGGCACCCAAATCCCTGAAACATCCCTAAAAACCCGCTGTTATGGAAGTGGTTGCTCAAGGGCTGAAGGGAAACCTTTCCAGGGATAACAGAACATCCCTCCAGCCTGGAACAGGCACCCAAATCCCAAAAATCCAGGGCCTGTGGAGCTGGGTTTGGGCTGCAGGGAAACCTCTCCAGGGATAATAGAACATCCCTCCTGCCAGGAACAGGCACCCAAATCCCAAAAAAACAGGGGCTATGGAAGCTGGGAGCCCAAGAGCTGAAGAGAATCTTCTCCAGGGATAACAGAACATCCCTCCAGCCAGGAACAGGCACCCACATCCCCAAAAATCCAGGGGCTATGGAAGTTGGGTGCCCAAAGGGTTGAAGGGAAACCTCTCCAGGGATAATGGAACATCCCTCCAGCCTGGAAAGGCACCCAAATCCCAAAAAGCCAGGGGCTATGGAAGCTGATTGTCCAGAGGCTGAAGGGAAAGCTCTCCAGGGGTAACAGAAAATCCCTCCAGCCTGGAACAGGCACCCAAATCCCAAAAATCCAGGGGTTTTGGAAGCTGCTTGTCCAAAGGGCTGAAGGGAAACCTCTCCAGGGATAACAGAACATCCCTCCAGCCAGGAACAGGCACCCAAATCCCAAAAACAAACAGGTGCCAAGGACACCAAGGACACCAACACGTCCCGCCCTCAACGGGACCCAAACCACCGCACCACCCTCCCCTCCCGAACATTCCAGGGGGCGATCCCAAAGGTTTTGGGGAACGTCCCCAGTGCCAGGGGGTGCCCCCAGAGCTCACCTGGTAGGCGTGGTCGGCCTGGATGTGCCAGAAGGAGCCGGGGGCCGACTGGCTGAGGGCAGCGCCGGCCAGGCCGGGCTCCGGCAGCGGCGGCTCCAGCAGGAGCGGCTCCGGCGTGGCCAGCGCCTGCCGGATGATGATGGGGGCCGAGGTGGCCGTGGGGCTGGTGGGGGTGGTGGTGGTGGTGGTGGTGGTGGTCACCTCAGGGGCTGGTTCTTCCTTCACCTGCACCTCGGTGTAGTAGAAATCCTCCTCCCGCTTCCGCCGCTGCTCCGACTCGGCGCCGTCCCTGCCCCGGGGAGGGAGGAAAGAAAGGGAAAAGGTTTTTTTTTTTCCCTGTTTTCCTTTTCCAGTTTTTCGATCCCAAAGAGCCACGTGGGCACAGCCTGGGGTTCCCAGGAGGATCAGCAGGTCTTTCTTGCCAAGGGGGGGCTGGAGAAAGCGCCGGAATTGCCGGTTGAAAATTCCCGACCGGGAATTACGGGGTTTGGGGAAAAATGTGGGGTTTATGTGGGGGGGTGGAATTGAGGTT